AGTAAAAACAGGACGAGATGCCCTATTCATTTCATATATAAAAACTGTTTATCAACCACAAACCAAAGAGATTGGGGGCTGGAGAAGAAACAAAGCGATAAAATACATGAGAATAGGGAGAGGACCTTGTCGTCACCTAAAGCTCGGTGAATATTGAACGAACTTCTGCACCTCCCAAAACCTATGCTAGAAGCTAGTATGTTGGTATGAGTCTTAGCGTCTTTGAAAATGGATTTGTTCGGACTGCTCCAAATGCACCAACAGAAAGCTGGCACGAATACCCGCCAAAGGGATTTAAGTCTGCCATTCTGGAATGCGGTGCCTTAAAGAAGAAATAGTAACTAATAATGAATATAATTAGTCGATGTAAAAAATGCTAGATCTTGTATTTATTTATCGTTGGGACACAGGTTAGTTAGGAGCTTAAGATTAGTATGTTAATGATGCAGGCTCAAATATATCCTAGTAAGTTCGTTTTATTTTCTGCCGTGGTAAATTAGAGGCCATGTACTGTATTGGGTTGGGCTCTTCGCTAGCCCAAAAGGAATACAGCGATGCTCCGTAATCCTGCTAGTAATAGCCATATTTCATAGAGTAACCCATTTTGTGTATGAGACTAAGCTCTGTGGAAAAAAAAAAATTGACGAAGACGTTCATTGAACCTTCTGTATATGAATATTTATTTTTATATTTTACTTTTCCCTTTTTAAGTTCTTGTTTAGGGAATGAGGTGGTCTGGAAAGGTTTTTTTTTTTTTTTTGCGATATACGACTTACTGAACTAACAATATCCAAGCCCTTTAATAAATAAAAACATAGCCAGATCGGACCACGGCCCATTAGAAAACATTTGCATGTTCATTCGCTTTGGATTGCTTGTGTTAAGAATTGACTAGCAAAAGAAAAAAAGAAAAAAAATACTGTACGTTGATTCAGCTGAATTCCACTTCTTTTCTATTGATGAAATTGAAGGTTCCTATTTTGCTAATTATATCACCGTAAATGAACTTCATACAATGAAAGATTGCGAATTGGTATGTTTTATTAATGAATTCAAATTCAACAAGAAGACCCTAACAGCAGTGGAGAATTTGACTGAGTTGATTGCCCCTTAAGCATTTCTAAATTATATACTTTCGATGTAAATTGTTTTGCTATAACTCGTTTAATGCAATGAGCTAGAATTACCTATACCTTGCTTAAAAATGAATTACGGTGGATTGTCTCCATAATTCTGATTTTATAAAAAGAGTTAGTTGAGTAAAACATTTTCTGTACTATATTTACTATAACTGATGATCACTTTTTATTCCTAAGGTTTATATTAGCATTGAGATCATTGACACTCAAAAGCAGTAATCCTTCTTAATGTTTGTATCTACACTAAAAAATCGAATGTTTGTTTGCCCCCTATAAGAGAATAGGGGCTCTCTTCAGAACAAACTGGAATTAAGAGATCTCTTTGCAACACATTAACATCACATGACATCTATTTGACGTATGCATATAAATAAAGACATAACTTTTGTGATGACATCATGAAGTCTAGGTAACTAATAAAATTAGAAGTATTCAGTGACTAATCTCCTATACTGCCTTGGGTATGTTTGCGACTAACTCTAAAAAAAATCTAGAAATTCCAATTAAATCCCAAATTTTCAAGAAAATAAACAAGCATTGCATTAAGCTATCATATCCTTGTATGGCATTGCCCCCCACTCCGAGAACAATAATTGTAGATCAATAACAAAGCTTTACTCAGAATGCACATCACTCCCTCACGTGCTTAGAGATAAACAGGTAATTATTACAAGCAAAAGCTCATCTCGTGAACATGCGCAACTAGGATTAACTTAACTAATCAAAACCAAAAAAGTGAGTTAAAAAGTTGCACATGGGGTTCGATAATTCATGTGCACACAAATAATTTCAATTTGGATTGAGTCTAATGGTATCCTTGTCCATGGACCATGTCGAATGATGCTGGATGTACAGCAACGATTAACAGTGACTGGTCCAGGTATTAGGCAAGACTTTTGCAAGGAGCAGAAATTCTTAAATCGTTTAATAATTGTTAGAATTATATAAAACTATAATCCTCGATTTTCACCACAATTTCGGAGTTTTTATGTAACGATTAGAGAGACTCGATTTAAGATGTTATCGAAGCCACAGGGTTCAAATCCTACCAGCCATAAATTTAAAGCGGATTTTCTGCTTGAGTCTAAAGTGTAGCCCATTAAAAGGCCTCAACCTGCAAGAACATGTTAGAATATAAAAAAATAATCTTTAGCTCTCACCATGACTTAGATAATTTAAGTTACACACTTTCAAGCTAATTTTTTGCCAGCTTTGATATAGATGGAAACTAATAAGTGATTAAGCAGTAGGGATTTGTATTATTTTCACTACTTGTTCGATGGTACAGACCATTTACTCAAGGGTTAATTGGGGCTAGACCCTCAAAGATTCTATTTGTGCAAATGGTCCCCTATAGTATTTATCCTAGTGCGAATAGATCTTCTTACCGAGTGAATTGATTAGAAATTGGGAGTCTTAATCGTCACCAAAGGAACTATAAGAGATCTACCCCGCCCCTTTTTTTTATTTTTTATTTTCTTTTAGAAGCCCAAAAAATTCATCCAAGGGGTCAACACGCACAAATAAAGGATGTTCGGTAAGGCTTATTGTTTGAAGATTATAAGTTAGGTAGCATTTATTGATTTTTGGCTTTTATGATAAAAATGCTATAAAAATTGTTTGGATAGTATAATAATTTGTTTGGTCAAAACCTAACTTATTTAGGTGAGCATATAAGTTAGTTTTTTAAAAGCTAGGGTATACAAACTTTTTAAAATGTGACTTATAAATCAAAAGTTTGGGTATACTTGCTTTTTAAAATGTGACTTGTAAACTAACTTATTCGGTATTTTACTAAACATATAGAAATAAGAAAATGTAGCTTAAAAGCTAGTTTGAGTAAAAAATAAGTCATCCCAAACACCCTCATAGTCTACCCGCTATTGGGCAGACACTACCGAGGGTCTATTTGCAATTTACCTTTTTTAAATCACAAGTGTTCATCTATATGTATATGATTGTATTTGAAATAGTAAACTATTCATTCTGATTAAAGGATAAAGCTATATATTTTGATCAATTTTAAAGAGTAACATTAGGTTTGCAACAAATCCTTTTGCCTATTTTATTTAGGCTTAGCTAAGTCAACTATGGTATCTCTAATTTCTATAAATAAAAGTATTGCTTGAGAAACTACTCAACAACATCACTGTAGATGATAGATCGCTTTTTAAATGAACTTAACATATACTCCAAAGTACCATTAATGGATAAATGAGCTTAACATATACTCCAAAGTACTATTAACGGATAATTTGTACTTTATAGCTTCATTTATACTTAATTAGTTACAAAAAAAAATTAGTTATAAAATGAGAGCTGCGCAATAAATTACGATAGTTTGTACTTTATAGCTCCAAACTATTTATTCTGATCAATGCCTTCCGTTCCGTTTAACTCAATAAATGATCCAACAAGAAAATTTCTAAGGAAACCCCACTTTGAGACATATCTCACAACGGCAACATAAAAAAATTAAAAAAGGGTTTTTTTCGATATTGGCCCCCACTTTGAGACATCTCCCAATTTAGGTGTTTTTATTTGGTCCTTCAAATCTTCATATTTTGAATTCAGTCCCCGAATGTTTTGAAGTTAGTCTCCCAAATTTCTCAACTAAGTCCTAACTAAGGGGACTAATTTCAAAACACTTAGGTACTGTTTGGCAAAGGGTTAAGTGAGAGGTTAAGGAGACTTAACCTCTTCTTAACCCGCCAAATACAAATAATCTATACAATGGTTAAAGTGTGTTAATCCTCCGTAATTTGCCAAACATAAAAAATATAAAAGGGTTAAACTAACCTCTCTAGAGAAATTAAAATGAGTTAACCCCTCATTTTATTATTACTCCTATTTAGAAGTATTAAGAGTTAACCCTTCTAATTATAAAAAAAATAGTTAAAATTATTGTTATTCTCAAACACTAAACCTGATCACAATGGCTAAAATAAAACTTATTTAACAGGTTAATAGTCATTCAGATTATCGAATGAGCTAAGTACATTAATCCTTCTATTTAACCCTTCTTCTTTAACCATTTGCCAACGTGGCCTTACTCATTTGGGGAGCTAATTTCCAAATATGAAGATACGAGGGACTAATTACAAAATATTGAAGTATTTATAACTTTGGGAGACTTCTAAATATGAAGTTTCGGGGGGCTAATTCAACCTATGAAAGAATTGAAGGGACTAATTTTGGGGGCAAAAACTCATAAAAAAGAAATTTAACATATCTACAAATATAATCACAACCAACCGCATTTGACCGACAATAGCAACGATAAACAACCATTAACAATTTAGCATACAACCCATAGAGATGATATTGTGGATCTAAAATCATAATAAATAAATAAAAGGACCAGCTCAGAATCTAGCCGTTTCTTTTATCTCATCCCCCAAATTTCCCTACTCCCAGCACCTTTACCCATGTGGCCTTCTCTCGGTCTCAGCCCAAAAGAATCAGACCCAAAATCAAACTGAATCCTAAACAAAAGAGCTACAGCACATGGTCTCCAAACTCAGGAAAATTTTTATAGAGTCTTTGCTCCCCAAACAGCCGGCATTATTTCAGAACCCGACTAGATTAACGACCACGTTAATCAACAAATTAGTTAATTTAAAACTTTTAATAAAGTGGAAGTGTTTGTATTTTGTGCAGAAGATGCTGCCTGCAGTGAGGCAGGGGCAGGCCTGTCAATTCGATTCAAATCCAGCATCATTTCCTAGAGCACTAGACGACAAAAAACCAACAATATTGCAGAAAAGGCCAGAAGAAGAAAACAGTAAATGCAATAACAAGACCCGCAGGAGGCGCATTTTTCGCAAATAGGGAGCACAGATCGGGGGAAGCAGAGTCACATGCAAAAACAACACAGCTACATTACTCAGCTACAGGACAAATTACCATCAAAAGTCTACACAGCAACTTTTTTTTTTTTCACCGGCAAAAAGATCAGCACAAACCCTCCCCCACTATTTACAGAATCTGATAGCAAAACTCAAATTTAACAAAACGAAGAGTTAATTAATCAATAATCATCATGACCATAGGCGGCCCTGCCTTTTAGTTTTTCCCTTTGCTGCTGCCGTTACCGGCTTTCGGGTTGGAGCTCGACCCAGAACCCGAACCGGAGAAAAGCTGGCCGAAACCGAAACTCTTGGACCCGGCACGGAGAGAACAAACCGGCACGTTGAGGACCGGCGTCACGCGCACGTTGGCAGAGTATGAGCGCTCCATGCCGCGGTGTTTGATGCGGGGCCCACCGTTGAAGGTGCTCGGGCTACTCGAGCTCCGGCCGAGTCCTTGAAAAACAACTTTACCCGAAGCGACACGCGCCCTTCCGCTCCGGTTCTTGCTCTTGAAACCCTAACTTTTGGTGGGTTTCGGTTCAAAAGAATCGGGGCTTGGTTTGGTTTGTGTTCGGAGTCGAGAGAGAGGCGAGGGTGCTCTTCGGATTCGGGTCCGGACGAGGATGTTGACGACAGCGAGAGGCGAGAGGAGATCGACAGCGGCTCAGTGTCGGATTCTTTCAGTAGGGGCAGGTTAAGATTAGGATCCGACGATGATGAGGATCGCAGATTGCGGTTAAGGAAATGCTTTAAGGACTTCGGGTTCAGGTTTTTAGATTATCGAATGAGCTAAGTACATTAATCCTTCTATTTAACCCTTCTTCTTTAACCATTTGCCAACGTGGCCTTACTCATTTGGGGAGCTAATTTCCAAATATGAAGATACGAGGGACTAATTACAAAATATTGAAGTATTTATAACTTTGGGAGACTTCTAAATATGAAGTTTCGGGGGGCTAATTCAACCTATGAAAGAATTGAAGGGACTAATTTTGGGGGCAAAAACTCATAAAAAAGAAATTTAACATATCTACAAATATAATCACAACCAACCGCATTTGACCGACAATAGCAACGATAAACAACCATTAACAATTTAGCATACAACCCATAGAGATGATATTGTGGATCTAAAATCATAATAAATAAATAAAAGGACCAGCTCAGAATCTAGCCGTTTCTTTTATCTCATCCCCCAAATTTCCCTACTCCCAGCACCTTTACCCATGTGGCCTTCTCTCGGTCTCAGCCCAAAAGAATCAGACCCAAAATCAAACTGAATCCTAAACAAAAGAGCTACAGCACATGGTCTCCAAACTCAGGAAAATTTTTATAGAGTCTTTGCTCCCCAAACAGCCGGCATTATTTCAGAACCCGACTAGATTAACGACCACGTTAATCAACAAATTAGTTAATTTAAAACTTTTAATAAAGTGGAAGTGTTTGTATTTTGTGCAGAAGATGCTGCCTGCAGTGAGGCAGGGGCAGGCCTGTCAATTCGATTCAAATCCAGCATCATTTCCTAGAGCACTAGACGACAAAAAACCAACAATATTGCAGAAAAGGCCAGAAGAAGAAAACAGTAAATGCAATAACAAGACCCGCAGGAGGCGCATTTTTCGCAAATAGGGAGCACAGATCGGGGGAAGCAGAGTCACATGCAAAAACAACACAGCTACATTACTCAGCTACAGGACAAATTACCATCAAAAGTCTACACAGCAACTTTTTTTTTTTTCACCGGCAAAAAGATCAGCACAAACCCTCCCCCACTATTTACAGAATCTGATAGCAAAACTCAAATTTAACAAAACGAAGAGTTAATTAATCAATAATCATCATGACCATAGGCGGCCCTGCCTTTTAGTTTTTCCCTTTGCTGCTGCCGTTACCGGCTTTCGGGTTGGAGCTCGACCCAGAACCCGAACCGGAGAAAAGCTGGCCGAAACCGAAACTCTTGGACCCGGCACGGAGAGAACAAACCGGCACGTTGAGGACCGGCGTCACGCGCACGTTGGCAGAGTATGAGCGCTCCATGCCGCGGTGTTTGATGCGGGGCCCACCGTTGAAGGTGCTCGGGCTACTCGAGCTCCGGCCGAGTCCTTGAAAAACAACTTTACCCGAAGCGTT